TTGTACTGTATTGTATTGTATTGTACTGTACTGTATTGTACTGTATTGTATTGTATTGTACTGTACTGTATTGTACTGTACTGTACTGTATTGTACTGTATTGTATTGTATTGTACTGTATTGTACTGTACTGTATTGTACTGTACTGTACTGTATTGTACTGTATTGTATTGTATTGTACTGTATTGTACTGTACTGTATTGTACTGTATTGTACTGTATTGTACTGTATTGTATTGTATTGTATTGTACTGTATTGTATTCCTTTTCACATTAAAATCCTTCAGTTGGGGTCTTTTTAAAGTGGAACTACAAAGCTGTAGTTTGAATTCCTCATTTGAACGTTACCAGCCCGTCTTTCATCCATTTCCTGAAGCTTGTCTCCAAGCAGCTGGATTTGATACAGTGCCTTTAAAGGTGCTTCTTGCTTCAAATATTGCTCAGAAATGTGTGTAAATCTGTATTAGGGGGCAGAGATAATCCATCCCACACTGCAGGTGTGGCATATCAAGATGCTGATTAGACAGCAGGATTATTGCACAGGTTTATTTTGTTAGTGCACCATTTGTTACTTTCTGGCAGAACTGGAAATCATGGCCTGAAATCCTGACACATTACATTTTCACTTTTAGAAATGACCTTTAGAAGGAGTCAATGTAAAAAAAAACATAAAAACATTAAAAACAAAGAATAAAGTGAGCAAAGGTAGTTCTGGTGTGTGACTTACCTTGATGGTATAAAGTGTGTATGGGTGTGAGCCGGTGCCACGGTGCTCCTTGGCAGTGATGGTGCCGGTGATGCGGAGGTTCTGGATGATGACCGGTCCTTCGGGGCTGCTGAGGGGCTCAAAACTAAACGTGGACAGGGGAGAGCAGCCCTGCAGTGGACTGGTGATGGCCAGCTCATTGGCATGGTCTACGCCCAGAAGAAGCTCTCTGTTTGGGTTGACTGCAGAAGAACTGCTGTCTCTGTCCAGGTCCTGGAGACTACTGATACTGTAAAGCCCCTCTGCTGTCCTAACCGATGAGATGCCACTATCATTAGGATGCTCAACGAGCACTGAACTGACCAAGACTTTAGGGCATGAGCCATCCACTGGACTGGAGCAAACATCTTCTGAGTCCAACCAGTTGTTGCTCTCAGCAGTTGAGGCACAGTCTCTCTCTTCTTGAGCCACCATGAGCAGCGAATCAGGAGAACTTTGCTTGTAGTCAGCCAACGGAGAGTCCAGGTCAGAATCATTTTCCTGATAAAATGGGTTCATCTTTCCTGCTCTTATATAGTGTCTTAAATACGGCTCAGTGGATTCATCTTCTTCAGCAAACGTCTGTGGAAAGTCCACGTCCTCAGAGTCAGTCCCATCACAGGCAGGGAGGTCAGGAGCTACATCTGTGTGATTAACCTCTGCTCTTTGAAGAGGAACTTCATCATCTGTCTGAGGCACATGTGCTACCTCTTGGGGGAAAGCTGTCTCTGTCTCAGAAGGTTGTGAAAGTAAGGATTGTGTCTCTGTTGTTGTGTTTTCCTGTGCTGTGCTGGACTTACCAAGGATTTCAATTATCAGGAGGTTCAACCAGTCAGGGTCAGACAGTTTATCAACAAAAGGGAGAAGAACATTGCAGGTGATGAGCTCTCCAACAACAAAGCGTCCTGTGTGGGTTTCTAAATGAGGTGATGGAACCAGAACATGGAGCAACACGTCAACAACAGCTCTGACGTAGTTCAGCTCTGCTGCATCGCTGCTCATGACCAGGTGAGGGCTGCTGAGGCTGGAATATGCTTTCCACAGCTGCTCACTGTCCTTCTGACATGTTCCTGTCACCAGCTCCTTGGCTCTGAGGTAGTCCTGCACATGGCTGCCCAGCAGGTTCAGCACTTTTTCTGTCACTTCCTGCAGCAATTCACAAAGTTGCACATGTTATAACTAAACAAGTCTGCTTTCCACAGTTTAAACAGGACCTATTATACAAAAAATACATTTTTAACAGGTTTTTATACTTCAGTTTGTGTCTGTACTGCTTCCAGAAACAGTCCAAGAGCCAGAAAAATACTCGCAGCTGTTTGTTGGACAATGTGTACGTTTTGTTAGTGTCAGCAAATGAGCCGTTTCAAAAACCCACAGATTGTTATGTTACAATCAGTGTAACCTGTCAACGCCACGGTGAGCTTTTTGTATCATGCTATGAAGTAGGGCTGGACGGTATGACCTCAGACTCATATCAGGGTATAAACTGAATCCCTTCACAGTAACTGTATACAGGTGCTGGTCATAAAATTAGAATATCATGAAAAAGTAGATTTATTTCAGTAATTCCATTTAAAAAGTGAAACTTGTATATTATATTCATACATTACATACAAACTCATATATTTC